CACGTCCAGCCCCCGGGCCTTAGTTTGACTAGCCTGATCTAAGCAGTGATGGGAAATGTTAGCACCAGTAAAATACAGTTCCATTCTATTGATACTAATGGGCTTGGATATCAATGTAACCATAAAGATGTGACTCGGACCTGGAACCTTTTCTTGACTGCTTTGGACTTGATACCATAGTGATTTACTGAATCATCTTTTTCTCTTTCAGGTTCAATACAAACTACAGGAACCTGATGCAAACTCAGCTGATTTTTTTCTGCTATGACACCCTAAATTTCAATCCTCAGGAGCCATGTCTGACTCTTCCCAAACTTCCCTTCTGTGACTTAGACTCAAACAACTGAGACTTGATGCCCGACACTAACCTCCAACTGACCCTGTGATGTAGATTTTCAACTCATCTGAGCCTCCTGTTAAATACCATACCACTGTCTCTAAACCATCGATCATAACAAGTATCAAGAAGTATTCTGGGACTTTCAACATTAGTCATCCTTCACGGCCTAATGCCCTTTCTTGTGATTCTTTCCACACAATGGCCCTTAAGTTAGGACAGAAGTGTCGTCAAGTGAAGCTTAGCCTGCTCCAAACACCATCTGGAGACACAGTGGAAACAATACCAACAGCATACAAATGACGGTAGGCACAAAAACACAGACAGATACGGAGGTGCACACTGTCAAATATTCTGCTCATGTTTGCAATCCATTATTCAAAAGCTTTGAGCACAGCTTGTCAGTTCCAGCATCTGCAAGTAAAATAAAGCAAAGGTGGAACTGGGACTCGGTGAAACCACCCCCACCCACGAGTCAACCCAAACACACTACGTATGTCAAACTGCACCTCGACACATGCTGAGCCTTCTACACAGTGTAGAAGAATATTCACCAAAAAACTGAAGAACCATGAATCTAAAAAAATGCATTACTAAACTCTGAATTATTGCGAAAAATGATGAAATCCTACCTGTACACTACAGCCCCACCGTGGATAAAAATATAATTTAGATTTTAAATATGAGGTCAAAAAGGTCAGAAATTTCGTGTGTACCTCCCTGTCTTCCTCTCCCTCACTTTCTTTTTCTCTCCCACTCAAACACAGTGGGGTCAGTGAGACGCTTTGTGACTCTTGATCACAGAGGCCGTGTGGAACATGAGGTTTCTGGCTAATTACCGTCAGACAATGAAAAATAAACTCAGGCACGCTTCCTGGATCAAATATCAAGCTATTAATTATTACAGGTAACTCTGTGGTGATCGTCATATGCTCCTGAGCACGGGCAGGCACATGTCACAGCAGTACACACGGAAAAGTAGACAAAGGTGTTGTGTAAGCCACACCTGCTCTGGATATCAATCTGTTTCACAGTATGTCCATCGTCTGGCGTCTGTTCTTTATCTCTCTCTCTCTCTCTCTCTCTCTCTCTCTGTCTCTGTCTGTGTCTCCCCCTCTCTGTTGTAATCTATCTTTGCTAATACGCTCTTTGCGAGCAGCTGGGTTCCGAGGCAGAGTCAGCTCTGTGAGGAAACAGACCTCTGCTTGTTTCTGTTTGTATTTGTGTATATGTGGGAATCACGCACACGCACGCACGCACACACGCACACACACGCACGCTTGCACAGAGATAGGATGAAACACAACCATGTCAAAGGTAAAGTAAAGGCAGAAAGCAAACCAAGCTGCAGCAAAACAAACCCAGAACCAACAAAACCATAATCACTCTACTTTTCACTCAGTGCAGTGCAGGGCATTATGGGTAAATGTGGGTCATTGTCAACACTTGCACTTCCCAACATCTCAACAACGTCTTGTCATTTGGTGACAAGGATCATTAGGAAAACAGGTTTAACAATGGGCTAATTAACAAGTGCAATAGTTTTACCATACTAAAAAAAATAATGCTAAACATTAGCATGTTAACATTCATGCTAGTGAACATGCTAGTGAACAGACCCCCGGTCCTCATTGTTAGAGTTCAGTTTACTGACTGCACACACTAAAGCACATGTCCACCCATCAGTGTAAACTAAATGTGCACTCTTAGCATGTTTTAGAAGCATGTTTGTTTCCAGAACGTTAAGTTTGTTGTGGTGGTGTGGTTTTTACATGTAGTCAATAAGAACAGGGAGATTAGTTTTACTGTTTGCCGTTCAGCTGTTACTGAGGAAATCTGTTACTTCTGTGTAATAACAAATCTCAAAACGCAGAAAAACCAGAACTAACATTAGCTACAACAGTCCTGGTACAGACACCAGAGCTAACATTAGCTACAACAGTCCTGGTAGAGACACCAGAGCTAACGTTAGCTACAACAGGCCTGGTACATACAAATGGTCCAGTTAGCCCACAATGGACCAGATGATAGGGTTTAGAAAAAAAATCTCCAAATCTTGAATATAAGTGGCTGTAATTATACTGTAAATTAGTATACTTTGAAACTCAATAGTCCATTCATTTGATGTTTTTTTTATTTGTCATTTCATTAGTGAGTATTACTTTATTAATGGATTTCATTTATTAATTAATGAAGTGGGCGACAATGGGCAACAGTTAATGGTCCCCTCTCCGTCCTGTCACTCATTTGGTCTCCTCACACCAGTGTGTGTGCGCGTGCGCGTGCGTGTCTGTCCCCTTTCTCCAACACACACACACACACAGACGGGCAGGAATTTTGTCTCCAGCATTTGTGTCTCTTCGCGTTGCCATGGAGACTGTCCAGCTCTCTGTCTCAATGCTCGAATGCTGGACCGAAATATATAAAGGACAGGCTAGCACAATCAATGAGAGCCTTTTTGTTTTAGTGGGAACCCCCCCCCCCCCCCACCCACACACACAAACAAAACCACACAC